GTTTTCTGTAGCTCTGCTGCTGCTGCTGGCAGCTGGATGTGAGTCTGTCTGCATCTGTCAAAGTCAACAGTTCTTCTTCTGCAGTTTAACTTGATCATTTCTTACTAAACATGTTCTCTTTTTAACAGGTGTGAAGTGTGAACAGTTGACACAGCCAGCCTCTGTGACTGTGCAGCCAGGTCAGAGTCTGACCATCACCTGTCAGGTCTCTTATTCTGTTAGCAGCTACTACACAGCCTGGATCAGAGGACTGGAGTGGATCAAGGACTGGAGTGGATTGGAATGGTATCTGCTGGATCCACCACACGCTACAAAGATTCACTGAAGAACCAGTTCAGTATTGACTTAGACTCTTCCAGAAAAATAGCGACTCTAAATGGACTGAATATGCAGCCTGCAGACACTGCAGTGTATTACTGTGCCAGAGACCCACAGTGACACAACCCATCAGTAGAGCTAAACAAAAACTACTTCCTCTTTTTACCACCATCACAATATTTCATGTGATTCACAATCAACTATGAAAATTCTGAGTGTTGAACAAATACTTATCAAGTCATCAACTTCAATTGTTTTTTTAAAAACACAGTTTCTCAATAAATGGAAGTTTAAGTATTAGCCCCCTCTTACCTCAGTGACATGGAAGACACATTCAAATTGTGAATGTAGACAAGAACTAATTAATATAAACTATATAGAGCAGCAGTTAAATCTACAGCATGGGGAATGTAAACTGCAGCAACAAGAAGAGTTTTATAACTTCATGTGTTGAAATCTTACCATGAAAGACTTCTGACATGTGGTTAATAATATCCATCAAGCTTTACTGTATCTGAGCACCAAGTGTCATTAATGAAAAACACAGTTTCTCCCCTTGTGAACACTCGTTCCTTAAAGCCACCAGAGGAGGAGCTCTCACACAACAAATGATTTCAACTTCATTTGACTGTAACAGTAAAGAGAGAGAGAGAAACAGTCTTAAGGCTTTATTAGATCTTCTAATAAATGTGTCACTTAAATATTGTTTCAATCTCTATCTCTGATTAATTGAGAGTTTAAGAGTAATACTCAATTTTACCAGGATTTGAAAATATTTTAATGAACGTAGTCGGCTGATTTACCATCCTGTGTATGTAAATTAGCCTCCTCTTGTTGCTATATAAGAAAGTCCACTGGGTGTGTTAATGCATCAAGTTCTCACATCAGATCAGCTCCATCATCAGTCATGTTCTCTGCAGCTCTGATTCTTCTGCTGACCGCTGGATCCTGTAAGGATATTTTCAACTCTTTAGAAACAACTCATAATCAGATGAGTGATGGAGATAATGATGATTTGTGTTTCTACAGGTGTGCACTGTATTGATCTCATCACACCAGGCTCAATGGTTGTGCAGCCTGGACAGTCTCTGACCCTCACCTGTCAGGTCTCTGGTTACTCTCTGACTGATGTCAGCTATGCAACAGGTTGGATCAGACAGCGTAAAGGAAAAGGACTGGAGTGGATTGGAATGAGTTTTGGATCCACCACACTCTACAAAGATTCACTGAAGAATCAGTTCAGTATCAACTTAGACGCCTCCAGAAAAACAACGACTCTAAACGGACTGAATATACAGCCTGAAGACACTGCAGATTCCTCACACCAATAATGATTAACACCAAGCACTGAACCAGGGAACAGAGCCTTTTCCATTGCTGCCCCTCTCCCTCTGGATCTCTCTCCCCAAACACACCTGAGACTTTACGGACCTGCCACAATTCAAATCACTGATAGAAACATTACAAACACTGCTTTAAATTTCTAATGTTTCTTTTTGTACCATTGTTTTAAAGTGTTTTTCTTTAAATGCGACTCTGTAAATCAAATAAATCAAATGGATGATTAATATTATTTTTATACATATTAAACACCAGTTCACTTTTACAGTCAGGAGAAAAACAGCTGTAAGACATTATGAAAATACCTTTGTATTAAACAGAATAACTCAGAATAATCAGGATCACATTCACATTAGTAACTGAACCAGAGGTCTTTAGCTTCCTCTATGGTGATCTTATTCAATCAGACTTTTAGAAAATGAGATTTTAATACCACTGTTGTTCTCTGATACCCTGAGCCCATGTGACAAAATCCTCCATGAATGTTGAGAACAGAAGACACCATCAAAGAACATGATGGGGATTAACTTCCTGTTAGATGTGAATATTTTTGGTACATGTGATCACAGATGTTACTGTATGTTCAATAACTGTCAAAAAGTGGAAACTAATGATTAATAACTTAAAAGGACACTTGTGTTTATAATTTAATTCCAAAAGTAAAGAAGTGATATCCAAATGAAATGACTTTCTTATCTATCTGAGGAGGAGTCAATGTAAATCTCTGATGTGTTCCTCCTCTACTTATGTGAGAGCAGAGAGGACGACAGAGAACAGTGGACACACAGTTGAACATGATGGACTATAGGACAGGACTGCTGCTTTTTACTGTCTGCTGGGCAGGTGATGATCATCACTCATCTTTACTCTAAAAAGTCTTCTGAAAGTGTCACATCTGATGGTTTTCTTTTCTGTCTCTTCAGGTGTTGATGGTCAGACTCTGACACAATCTGAAGCAGTGGTTAAAAGGCCTGGAGAATCCCACAGACTGACCTGTTCAGCCTCTGGATTCACATTCAGCAGCTACCATATGAACTGGGTCAGACAGGCTCCTGGAGAAGGACTGGAGTGGATCGCTTTTATTAGTAGTGGTAGTGGTAGCATCTACTACTCTAATTCAGTCAAAAGCCGGTTCACCATCTCCAGAGACGACAGCAGACAGCAGCTGTATCTGCAGATGAACAGTCTGAAGACTGAAGACACTGCAGTGTATTACTGTGCCAGAGACCCACAGTGACACAACCCATCAGTAGAGCTGAACAAAAACCCCTCAGAGCCTGAACACCAGTAACATGAAGCCACCAGAGGAGGAGCCCTCACACCAATAATGATCTTAACACCAGTTCACTGTTGAAGAGTAAAAAATACTCATTTATAGATTCATATAGTTATATAGCTTAAAGTAAAAATGAAATAAATATAACAAAGTTTATTTATAATACATTTCTGGGTTCTCAAACACAAATTACATAATTTGATCAATTGAAGTAATAAAGTAAGGGGGGTGGGGGGGCAGTGTCTCAGATTGTGGGGACTTGGACTGGGATTCTGAGGGTCACAGGTTAAGGTCATGTCTGAAATTGGTCTGGTAGCTCGAGAGGTGTCAGTTCACTTCCTGAGCACTACATAGGTGATCCTTCTTTCATAGCCTCCCTGTGTCCTTATATGCAAAGTGAACTTCCTCACAGTCTGATATAAAGACTCGACATCAGGCTGTGAGTCAGAGAAGAACAGAAACTCCATCAGATCACTTCAAGTGAAAAAATGTTCTCTCTAGCTCTGATTCTACTGCTGGTCACTGGATCATGTAGGAAGCTTTTTAACTAATGATCACATCAGACACAGAGAATAATCAGATGAGTGATGGAGATAATGATGATTTGTGTTTCTACAGGTGTGCACTGTATTGATCTCATCACACCAGGCTCAATGGTTGTGCAGCCTGGACAGTCTCTGACCCTCACCTGTCAGGTCTCTGGTTACTCTCTGACTGATAACAGCTATGCAACAGGTTGGATCAGACAGCGTGAAGGGAAACCGATGGACTGGATCTGTCATAGGTTGGGTGGTGGAAACCTTTACCAAAATAATGCTCTGAAGAACAAGTTCAGCTCCAGCAGAGACACGTCTGTTAGAAAAGTGACTCTAACATGGCAGAATATGCAGCCTGAAGACACTGCTGTGTATTACTGTGTCAGAGAGACACAGTGAGAGACAATAACAGGAGAGTCGTACAAAAACAAGTTCCCCTTTTTAAAATAATCCCTTCAAACCTGATCTCTGATATCACTTGTTTGCCATAATGATTGAGATAAACATTACATGATCTCAGTTGACTGACTGGTTATTCCATTTCTCTTAAAATGCATTGGGTTGAGAGAGTGGAGGATGACATGCAGCAAAGGGCAAAGGTTGGATTCAAGCCCATGGCTGCTGTATAATTCCAATATTTGCTACTGCTATATTGTGTACAAGACTAACTGTGATGTCTAAATATTTCCCCAGGGATTAATAGAGTATTTCTGATTCTAATTGATGTTGCAAATGTTTGCATACATACAAATGTTTTGATCTAGAAAAAAATACTTTAAACTCAAACAATACATGTGCAGTTTATTGGATTAACCCTAAAAGATGTTTATCTCCAGAAGCAATAACTCTGTGGTTCTGTTTCTGGATTTGCAGCAGAACAGAGAAGATGCACCAAGAATAACGTGAAGATATTGCTGACATCTCAACATGAGAAACTAAACATGTTGGAAACAAGTCCTTAATGACTACAACAGAGCATCACTGATGTAAACACAGTTTATCTCGCAGTGGACACATGCAACCAGAGGAGGAGCCCTCAGACCACTAATGAGAATCATGGAACTACTCTTCTGATTTTTAAACAATACAACTCATAACTGAACCAGAAGACTTCAATGTCCTATATCCAATTTTTGTAATTCAAACTTTCATAAATTATGTTTTCAATAAGCGACTCAAAATGTAGAGAAACACTTTTATAAAAGCTTGGTGAAAGATATAATCTGAAGAACATCATGGGGAGCAACTTCCTGATAGATGTAAGTTCTTAGTACACGTGGGCACAGCTGTTATGTTCCCAACATGTTGGATAAAGGAGCTGTGTGTTTTTAATTTGCTTTGTGTTATTGCTGAAAGGCAAGCTGTCCAAATGGAAATATAAAAACCCCAAAGTTTGCCATCTTGAATGGACACTAATGATTTACTTCTAACTGTGAGGAGGAGTCAATGCAAATCTCTGATGTGTTCCTCCTCTACTTATGTGAGTGCAGAGAGGACGACAGAGAACAGTGGACACACAGTTGAACATGATGGACTATAGGACAGGACTGCTGCTTTTTACTGTCTGCTGGGCAGGTGATGATCATCACTCATCTTTACTCTAAAAAGTCTTCTGAAAGTGTCACATCTGATGGTTTTCTTTTCTGTCTTTTCAGGTGTTGATGGTCAGACTCTGACAGAATCTGAAGCAGTGGTTAAAAGGCCTGGAGAATCCCACAGACTGACCTGTTCAGCCTCTGGATTCACATTCAGCAGCTACTATATGGCTTGGGTCAGACAGGCTCCTGGAAAAGGACTGGAGTGGATTGCTGAAATTAGTAGCAGTGGTAGCAGCCAATACTACTCTAATTCAGTTAAAAGCCGGTTCACCATCTCCAGAGACAACAGCAGACAGCAGCTGTATCTGCAGATGAACAGTCTGAAGACTGAAGATTCTGCTGTTTATTATTGTGCCAGAGACCCACAGTGACACAGGAGGAAGTAACGCTGTACAAAAACTTAACGTGTCAAAAAGTACACTCTCTGTGTTTCATTTATAGAATAAACTTCAGTTTGATGTAAAAAAAATTAAAGTTTCATTTCTTGTACATCTCTGCTATTCTGCCACATGTTGTTAAAGAAAACTGATAAAATCTCATATTTAGTGGATCTGACTGTTAACGTGAATCTTGTTGTTTAAAGCAGCTTGTCCTTGTAACTTTTAACTAAGGGCATGTGTCGTCCCCACAACCACAGCCTGACGCCCAGCCTCCACCATCCGACTGTGTCGACCCTACAACCACCGCCGTCCACATTCATGCTCAGTCTGCTCCGACCTCCACCTCAGCGGCAAGGAAGTGTGGACAACAGGAACACGAGGAATACAAAGGAGAAATCCTTCCTGCATATCATCCCATATGCTCTTTTGTAAAGTTTCTTGAGATAACAATTGTAATGAATTGATGCTATTCAAATAATGATTGATTGGTTGACTGAATGTGTCTGTCTCTCCTTAATTGTTAAAAAGAGCGATTTTAACACCTATTGAAATGATGTGTGACAAAACTAAAGTTTTAATGAAGGGAAACATCTTTACAATTCATCCTAGTTTTGAATCATTGAATGACTCTTTGGTATAAGCTGATCTTCTGTCATGAGTATGTTGATTAGGTGGCCTCTGTGTTTCCTCACAGTGTGTGTTTGAGTATTTGTGTGTCAGAGGACACAAGTTTAGTTCAGCTTCATCATCATTCATGTTCTCTGTACTGTAGCTCTGATACTGATGTTCACAGCAGCATGCTGAGAGGAGATTTTAAACTATTAAAAACACATCAGAATGACAAAATTAGTAACTGAATTAATGGAGATCATGTTGGTTAGTGTTTCCACACGTGAGATCTGTATTGATCTCATCCAGCAAGACTCAGTGGTCGTGCAGCCTGGACAGGATACCGCTGGTCTTATGTTTCCAGTTTGATCGGACTGAGTGAAGGAAACCGATGGACTGGATCTTGTTGCTTTGGAGAAAGAGACATTTTGAATACCTACGCTCTGAGGATTTTCATTTTCTGCACACACACTTAAAACAAAATGGTGATAATAGGCCATGTTTACACAACAATGATTTCATCCTAGTAATAATTACCAAAGACACCAACCTGTTAAAAAAGAAAGAAAAACTTGTGCAAACCCGAAGCACACCATAAATGATGAGGCACCACTCACAGAGAGTGTTATACGTATAGGGAGGGGTGGGTCAGAGTAACTCTGCTGCAGAATGAGTATGTTTAGACGACCTGCAGAAAAGATCATGTTGGGGCTTTAAGCAGTGATGCAACCAAAAGGTCAAATAGACTGCTGTGTATTACTGTGTGAGATTTACCCACTGATAAAAGAGGCCAGAAGAAAAATAAAACCTGACGAAATGCATTTTTACAAAGGCCAACAGAGGGCGATAAAAGATCAAACATATAATGGCAGAGCATTGTGACAAAGTCTCTTAAAGCTCAATCACAAGAAGGAAACATTCAGCAGCAGTTGATTCGGTGGGTTCAGCCTAACTGTTGGTTTTAAATCATAGAGACAATAATAAAAAGCTTTGTGACCTGCAGGCTGTCACTTCATTGAAGCTGGTGACGTCTAAAGTTGTGTTTCTCTCTCGTCAGAATTTAGCTGACAGTAAAACTACTTTGTGACATTAAATACATTGAAAAAAAGATTTATCAAAATGTCTCAAAAAATCCAATCTCCAGTGTTTCAGTATCACGTCCTGGACTGTGACTCACTTGAAAACAAGCACTGGTGATTCAGACTTCAGCATTGACTGCATTCAGACTTGGAATTTGAGAAAATGGCTCATATTTATTGATTGAAAAAGACTTTTGATTTTTTGGTCCTAAAATGTATTCACTTTCAAGCATGTGCTGGCACGAGAGTTCACCTGCATGTGAATATTGTCTCTGTAAGGATGCCGAAAAAGGAACACAAATTGTGCAGACATCTATCAAGGATTCATCCAGAAAAGTAACTCAGTTAACGAGGTCATGACTCTGACGTGACTCTGTTTCTTTGACTCATACTCCAGATTTGGTGATTCCACAACAACACTGCCTATCTCATTGTTCTACCCTTTTATTTGGCTACGTTATTTAAACACAGATTAACATCACCATGACAACAGGTAAACATCAACGATCAAATCATGATTGGTAGATATTTATAATAAACATTCCTGTGTCAAATAAGGATAAATAAACAGATACATTATTATCTAAAATGTCAACAAAACCATAAAAGGTGAACACTAACTATCCCAGAACCAGACAAAATAATTTAGACAATCAAAAAATCACCCTTCCATCCCATAAACAGAATATGAAGAGATGATGAGAAATACATTTGCTTGCTAGGAGTCGAGCCAAGTCTGTCTCTATGCAAATTGAACTTCCTCACAGTCTGATATAAAGATTCATCATCAGGCTGTGAGTCAGAGAAGAAGAGAAGCTCCATCATGTCAGGTTCAACACCAACCATGTTGCCTGTAGCTCTGCTGCTGCTGCTGGCTGCTGGATCCTGTGAGTCTCACTGAGGCAGACGCACTGACAGTATGATCACAGCACAATGACTCTAAACATACTGATTCAATATTCAACATGTTTTCCTCCACAGGTGTGAAGTGTGAACAGTTGACACAGCCAGCCTCTGTGACTGTGCAGCCAGGTCAGAGTCTGACCATCACCTGTCAGGTCTCTTATTCTGTTAGCAGCTACTGGACAGCCTGGATCAGACAGCCTGCAGGGAAAGGACTGGAGTGGATTATATTAGGTGCTGTGGGATATAGCACATATACCAAAGATTCACTGAAGAACCAGTTCAGTATCAACTTTGACTCTTCCAGCAACACAGCGACTCTGAACGGACTGAATATGCAGCCTGCAGACACTGCAGTGTATTACTGTGCCAGAGAGCCACAGTGAGAGACAATAACAGGAGAACCATACAAAAACTACTTCCTCTTTTGACAACAAACACTGAACAATAATTTTGTTCAGTGTTTTTTGTCTGTACATTTGTATCACTTGTCTTGTACTTTTACATAATATTATCAATTTCATTTCAAAAACAGAGTTTAAGAATAAATCAAAGTTGCAATCCCTTTCATATATAATAAAATATATCCTCTAATTTGATGTAAATATTTTGATTGATGTGCTCATTTACACAAAAGGGACCAAATGTGCCTTACATGTATGCAAAGTGACTGATTTAAATGTGTGTAATCAGCACCAGAGCTCAGAGACTTTGTCTTTCTTGCAACACAGGTTTTGGTGATATGAGGATAAGATGGTTTCTTATTGTCTCCTTTGTGCAGATTTTACTGAGCAACATAATTCTTCTTTGATCTTGGTTCAGAGTTCCTCCTTCTTGTGCAGACTTTTTTTCATTACTTTATGTTACAATCATATTTGCAACATTGAAAAAATCAATCACACTTCCCACATTATTCAGTATTAAAACTTAAATAAAAATGTGTCAGGTACTCGTTCTGGAATTTTCCTTGTTCAAATTTAAAAGAACCTTTTTAAAGTCTGAACCTTTTAAATACAATTAAATACAAAACTGACTATTGTTAGAATCATACTGTATGTACATCACCACCAGAAACCTTGTTCATCAGCTAACTTAATAAAGTTGTTTCCTAATTTATATAAAATGGTTATTACACATGATTCAAATTATTTAACAAGAACTGAAGTTCCACCTTTTCTTTCACAAGGGAAACAGTGAGGTGTTCTGTTGTTTCTCTTCCCATCATTTAGAGTTTTTAGAAACTAAGTCAGCTGATCTACAACCCTCTGAATGTAAATTGGCCTCCATGTGTTGCCATATAAATAAGTCATGTGTGTATGAGCATCAGTGAGAGGACAGACCAGCCCACATCAGATCAGCTTCATCATCAGTCATGTTCTCTGCAGCTCTGATTCTGCTGCTGACGCTGGATCCTGTAAGGAGCTTTTCAACTGTTTAGAAACAACTCATAATCAGATGAATGATGGAGATAATGATGATTTGTGTTTCCACAGGTGTGCACTGTATTGATCTCATCACACCAGGCTCAATGGTCGTGCAGCCTGGACAGTCTCTGACCCTCACCTGTCAGGTCTCTGGTTACTCTCTGACTGATGACAGCTATGCAACAGGTTGGATCAGACAGCGTGAAGGGAAACCGATGGACTGGATTCTCATCAGTGGGGTACAAGTGGACTCTTCAAAATAATGCTCTGAAGATCAAGTTCAGCTACAGCAGAGACACGTCTGCTGCAACAGTGACTCTAACAGGACAGAATATGCAGCCTGAAGACACTGCTGTGTATTACTGTGTGAGAGTCCCACAGTGAGAGACAATAACAGGAGAGTCATACAAAAACTACTTCCTCTGTTTACCACCATCACTGCACATTCAGCTGTATCAGCATCTTTAATTTCAGTTTTAAAAAATCTGAGTATTGGTTGACTGAATATTGGAAACATATACTATGGTCAGGTTTTATACTCGATTCTGATTGGTCACAGGTTGTTGATTTCTTTCTAACTTTGATTAGTGTCCTCTAAGTAGTTCCTGATAATGATCAAATCCTCTCTTGCTCCTTATAGTTCATGGACAGTTTATAAGCAATTTGAGAAAATGATCTCTGATATATGATGTTGCCCTGCTGAACGTTGCATGCATTATTTTGCTGTGGAAACCAGAGTTTGTCAATGAAAGCTGATAAAGAAAAATGAAGGAGAATTATCCGTATATAGGGGAGAAAAAAAAATTGGGAAAAAGAGGAGTAAGCGTCGGGACACTGGCAGACATGATGGTAATGAACGCTGGCTGGAGGGCCCAACAATACATTTTTACCTATAGGGCCCCAACAGACTCTCGAATCACCACTGAATATAGATCATCTTTCCTGTTAGAACAATAATACTGACTT